TAAATTCACTTTTTTTCCTTGTTCTTGTAAATGTCACTGCACATAAATCAAAACAGAAACAATTATCTTGTCACTTTCTTAATTGAACAAATGAAACAGACATGCAGAAAGGCTCCCTACCCTCATGACGCAAGAGCATTTTTTTAATAATGTTTTGAACTTAGCATAATTTTGTGTCTCTTCATAGATATTATTTTTCATTTCGAAGTAAGTTTTTGTCTTTTGGTAATTTTGTTTCAATAATATATTTACCTTTTGGTCATTTTACATCCCTTTGTGTATCTTGTATCTATTTTATGTGTTTTTGTGGCTGTTTAGTGTCTAGTGATCATGTTGCATCATTTTGTGTCCCCTTTTTGGTCATTTCACATCTAGTTTGTGTCTTTTTGTCTCGTGTATAGTTTATTTATGGTTGGTTGTAGCTTTGTGTCTGTTTGTTTGTTTGCATCACCTTGGAGATGTTTTGTGCTCTTGTTTACTGGTTGTCCGGCTCCTTGTGGTCATTCAACTCTCCAGTAAGAAATATTAACAGTCACTTCATGCAGAGGCTTGGTTGGAGGGCCTCTGGGCCTCTGGTCCTGCACACGGTTCAGTAATCAATCCGTGATACTAACACACCGACCTCTACAGTCACTTTCTGACCCTGGTGGCCCCCTAGTTGGGCTCTGCGTCAACCCCTGAGGTTGAAGCAGTAGTGGAAGCAGTTTGCAGAAGTAAGTGGAGGCTTCACACTGTGAACTACAAATAGTTCACTGGTGTCACTTCCCGCTTTGTACAATTGTGTGAAAAGCTGTGTAATTCAGTTTTAGTTTTTTCTGAACAATCTGTGTCCTTAAAGCCCAGAATGTTTCATTTATAAAAACGTGTCCATGAACTCCTCGTTTCCACTGAGGTCAGTTTTCGGGCCTAAGAGGACGTGTTGCTGATGAGCTTCCTCTTACGTAGAGACACCAGGTCATAAAAAGGGTCCTTGGTGACACTCGCCCTGAAAAAGAATAAGGTTAAGTTTAAAACTTAAAATAGAAAAGCAGCAGTATTTTTTTTTCAGTTTTATAAACCAAGTGTCTGTTTCCCTTTCAGTCCCAAGTGTCTGTTTCCCTACATTCATCTCTGTTCCTTTTGTTTGGCATAATTCAATCAATGGCAGAGTCTATAAAATGTTCGAAAATACAGGAAACTGCCCGTCAAGCATCTCTCCATCCCATCACCACTGGTGTTTAGACCTCAGTGGGGTTTCCAATACAACACGCAGCCTCACCGCTTTTCAATCATGATGACATCACAAGGGGTCCAAGCACCAAATAAAAGTATCTGTATCACATCACTTTCTTCTCTTGTTGTGCACAGCAATGATAACAATAATTTTGTTGTGAATTGAAGTCTTTCCTGATTGAATTTGCTGTTGTAGTATTTCTTAGCTGGGAGCTGTTGTGAGGCAAAACCAACTGAGACTCCATCAGAAAGAAACAGTCATATGTCTCTTCATCTGCTAGTTAAGATTGAACTGTCCTGCTCATGACCTCGACTGTAGATAAAGATTGATGTCACTGATGACATGTCGCCACCTTCTTCCACCATCCAGAAGATATGAATCACAGGACTTGCACTGATAAAGTTATTTGAAACCTCAGTCTGCACAAGATTAGAGATAGAGCTGCAGTCGTGTCAAGTTGATACACGTCAAATAGGTAATTAAAACCAAACCTATCAGAAACATGAAGTCTTGAACATATCATTGTGATAAAAACTTCCTAAAATGACAGAAACCATCTTCTTTAACATGTACTTTGACTATTTAGCATGGTCCATGTCCAATCTGCTAACACGGAGGAGAGAGATAGTGTTTAAGACCTATACTGCAGCTGGCCACCTGGGGGTCGATTGAAATGGTTTGGCTTCACTTTCAGAGATCTGTCACGTCGCCCATCTTTATATTCAATCTGTGGTTCTACGTGTCCCCCCTGAGGCACAGGTCTCCCATGATTCGTCCACAGCATGAGCAGCTCTCACCTGATGGCGTCCAACCAGTTGTCCCGTTCCTCTGCACTAGTGGCGCTCAGCTTATAGGACTGGTGTTTACCCTGCACCACTCTGCCTTTGTTCTCCGTCTTGCAGGCCTTGATCTTTTGTCCTTTGGGATTGTATAACTCCAGACAAAACTGTTCAAACACAGACGCCGTGTGAGCACCACCATCTCTGAGTGTGTGTGTGTATGCATCTCTGTGTAATCACTCCTCTGATTTCCTCACTCTTTGGAGCACATGTGTTAGAAATGTAGCAGCTGCTGTGATTCATTAAGTTCTGTGGCCACACAAAATGTGTGAGATGAAGCTTAACACTTGTTAATATGCTGTGATAACAAAGGTAAAAGGTACTGTACCGGTCTACTTGTGTCCTGTGACTTCCTGATGCTCAGGTTCTCCAGAGGAATAATCCCAATCGGATCTTTATCCTGGAGGAGAAGATTGTGTAGAAGATACTAAATACGTTGTAGAGCAACAGAAGAAAAATAGCGTTATGTGCAACAGCAGAGCTAAAAGAAGTGTGTTTCAGGTTATGTGTTGTATTAATTGTTTTCTCATTATATTTTCATCTGTTTACAGAGATTTAAGATGAAAATAGCAAGGGGAAGTAGTTGGTGATGTCATGTCCGGTGCACAGCCTAGAGAGGGAGGTCTTAGTCCTTGGCTCAGTCACTAAAAACACTGACTGAACAGCCGCTGTGTTTCCGATTCAGTTATGTCTGTAACATAAGCTTCTGTGTGGACTTACTCCATCTACTTACATGATTTTATCACAAAAATGCAATCATACTAGAGACACTACTAAATTAAACTGTATGGTTCCATTTAGGTGTGGCCCATTTGAATGGACTTTGCTGTCAGAAAAGGAAAGTAACAGTTGTAATGGCCTCCAGCTTACAGTACAGGAACGTCCCACATATTGGACCACAGCATTCCTCTCTGGTAATTGACAGGCCATTAACGGTGACTGAATTTCCCTTTGGGGATGAATAAAGTAATCTATCTATCTATCTATCTTAATGTAGACATTATCGCCACCTACTGGCCTGGTATGTTTGTCTGAGCGTTAATTGTTGTTTTTGTGAAATTTGTGAAAATTGTGTTTTTCATTTGCAGATACTCACTGTGGTGTATTTAAAGTAGTAGAGGCAGCTGTCTGTCAAAATAAACCACCTCCTCCTCCACGTTTTAACACGCCCACCTTCAACAAAGACAGACAAGAATTTACATTATCTCACATGAAACCTACCCCCCCCTCAGGTATGTATGTGCAGTAGAAACATCATTCTCACCCATTTTAACAAGCCAGCCCTCTCTCTCTGGATTGAAAAACGTCAGCGTCAGGTCGTTCCCATCATCCTCTGGGATTTTAAACGGCTCGCTGCGGATGCTTGTGTACAGTTTCTGTGAAACAGTTTTTAAGCAGAAGAAAACAACTTCAGCATCAAATGTATGTACGTGACATTTTAAAGATAGATTTAAATTACTTAAATGAAGCTGTAATATTTTTCATTTTATGTCTCTGCACTGGAGACAGCCAGTGACAGAGGCATTTTGTTTTTGGTTGGTTCGTCCATCCATCTTACTCTTCTGAACGTGTTATCTCAAGAACGCTTAGAGGAATTTTTTTCAAATGTGGTACAAACAGTCAGTTAGACTCAAAGATGAACTTGTTATATTTTGGTGCTCAAAGGTCAAGGTCGCTGTGAGCTAGCTCGCAAGACACTTTTTTTACCTTGTGATCAGACGTCATGTTCTTTGAATGTAACAGGAAAACCAATAAGGAAACGTATTACATCTGGTGCAACAATTCACTCGGACTCAAAATGAACTAATCAGATTTTGTTGGTTGGAAGTCAAAGGCCAAGTTGACTATGACCTCATAAAACCCTTATTTGCCTCTTGAATGTGTTATCAAGAGGCTGCATTGTAAATTTAAATTATTCGCTGCTATTTATAATGACTGGTATTCAGTATCAGTAGATGTTATTCTCGCAGACTGTATGTAGTACCTCTTTTGCAAATCACTGTATCACCTACTACTCTTGCACTCTATTATGTTTTTATGTTCTTATGCTTATTGATTATTGAAACATTCAACTAGTCTACCCTGTTTTAACTTTAAATTTGCCTCAATTTAGCTCTCTCTGAACAACTCAGTCACCGTCCTACATGTATGCTCTTCTATGTAAAAAAAATAGTACTTATTGCACATGTCTGTACTGCTGGAACACAAGAATTTCCCCTCGGGGATGAATAAAGTATGTCTATCTATCTATCTATAAAGAGCGCCTGAAGAAAATCCTTTTATATTTGGCAGGAAATATTGACTAAGACTAAAAGATTAACTTTGACCACTGAAATCTGATCAGTTAATCTTATCGCATTCACGGAATGAGACGGACAGAAAACCCATTTTTATGTATCATAAAATGCCTGTTTTGTAAAATGGTGGCATCTTGTGATCACGTGTGGCAAACTAGATGTTTGACGTGTGTGGTGTCTGAAATGCTATGTGTTGTCTTCCCTTTGAAGGAAGTGTATCCTTGGGTTTGAGGCCCCCAGCTCCTGAGAAAATCGGAGGAAGTTTAGGTTGTCTGAGAAAAACTGAATGTATACATTAGGGCATTAGATCACGGCTCTAACTGTCACCCTAAATTTGAGCTGGTGTTATTCCCTTCCTGCCACCGGACAATCTGGAGGAAAGCCAGATGCATTTTCTTTAGGTTCACGCAAACAACCCTCCTATATAAACGAGGAGTTGAAGTTGCCTCGAGAGGAGATTTACATTGGCCCCGAATCTCTCTCCAGACAGATTGCTTTGCTTGTATTGATACTGAACTTTTTGTAATAAACCTTTATATACAATCAAGACGGTGTCATCGGAGATTCCTTCATCATCTTCACATCATCGCAACCCCAATATACGACACGTGACAGAAATAAAACAGGGATAAAAAAAACATTGAGCCACTGACCGCGAGCAGCTCAGTGGGCAGATCCTCCCCGTTGTTGATGCCTTTGTTCATAGAAACAAATCGCTGCAGACTGGGTTTGTCTTTCACGTTGGGGTTATGGAGACTCGTGTTGAGCATGATGATGGCGAAGGACAGGATGTAGCAGGTGTCTGTTTCAACAGAAAAGCACAGCGCGTTTTCTTCAGCTGAATATTCTGCAACCATTAAAAGTAATAGGTTTCTATGTAAAAACAATTGTATTGAACAGACTGTGAAAGAAAACATGCTCCTGTGAAAAGATTCAACATTGATTCCTTTAAATTGCAGACGACGTGTTTCCTGCAGGTGAGACAAAGCCTAATGAGCTGGTACCTGTGGACTGAAACACCCCTGGGTTACAGTCACAGTATCGAGTTGCAAATGCCTCCATCATCCTGTCAATCTTCTGAGCTTCTCCCGGGAGACGAAAGCTCCACAGAAACTGCCTTTAGAATAAAAAAATACACACACACTCAATGACAAGCACATGCTGATAAGAAAAAGAATAGAAATCAAACTGAAGGTAAAATTGCTGCAACATTTTCACACATGGTTTGTGGAACAGACCTAAGCGCCTGCACCAGATTCAGGTCTGAGAATTCATGCAACTCCACGTAGGCTTTCAGGATCTCCAGATGCATCTCCTCCCTGTGTGACAACCAAGACAAATGCAGACAAATGGAGAAAATAATAGCTGAAACCACAAAATTCAAGGTTGTTCTTAGAACTGTTGTTAACAGTTCCTTTTTTTCAAAAAACAGAACCTGCCTTCTCCACGGATTGACTTCCTAGTGAGAATGAACTGAAAAAGTGTCTTCACATTATTGTTCTGTAAAGGAAGACATTTCAGAAATGGACTAAAATCTAGATCAACTTTTGACCAACAGCTTCAACAAACGCTCTTTCACGTCAATAACAGCCTCTTCATCCGCCACAGCCCCCACCACAGGCAGTAATGAGGATTTATAAGACGTAATCAATGATTCATTAATGGTTAACAATTCATTTACACATGCTTCATATGAGTTGGTATGTGCTGCAGTTATACACCAACCATACAGACATGTGAACTCCAGAGTTTGACTAGTTGTTGATATGCCCTCAAAAGATATATAACAAGTTAAGAAAGATAATGAAAGATGAACAATTATGATAGAAGAGAATAGATCCATTATCGAAATGGCTTGTCCTGTAAGTACATATAGCATAATATAATGTAAGGTATTTGAGATTTGCAACTTTCTATTTCCAATTCAACAGTTTAGTATTTTAGTGAAAGTAAGTAAAAGTATAATCAGCTTAGAAGTCAAAGTACTTATCATATGGAAATAAAGGCCTCCATGATTGATGTATTTCATTATATGGTTATTGTTTCTGATTATTGAATGTATAAGCAGCATTTTAATGTTGTAGTTGCTTAAGTTAGAATAATCTGTTTAGCTTTTTTGTTTATCTCCAACTATGAGGTTGTGTTTTCATCACTGTCTGTCAGCAGGATCACTCAAAAGCTACTGAATCATATTCAATGACATTTTGTGGAGGGGAGGGTCATGCAGTGAGGAACCCATTACTTTTTGCAGCAGATCCAGTGGGGGCTTAAGCCTTGGAGGGCAAATGCCTTTCTATCCTCTGGGCGGTTTAATCTTCAGCAATTCATCATATTTAATGAGCTGCTGGTGTGTTTTGTATGTCGAGGCATCATCAATAGTTAATACATAAATGTAGAATACTGTGAAGTAAAATATCTTTTTAAAATGTACTGGAGCTGAAGAATGCACTAGTATGAAATGAAAACAACCAAGTAAAGCATCTTTCTGTATTTGAGTGAAAGTAACGTGTGATTACCGTACCTCTCCCCCAGAACGTTTCCAATAGCCGTCTTGCTCAGTCCCTCCTCTTTGTACAGAAACTCAGCCACAGACACTGCTCGCCACTCCAGCAGGTCATTTTCAACCAGGTAATTGAAACCCTGCAGGAATGAAGGATGGGAAGTGGATTTATATGAAAAGCGTTTGGAAAACAGGAGCTTGAAAATCAGTCAAGTCCACGTTTTCACACAGAAACGTATGTGTAACATGATGCTGGATAGAGAGTTTTATGTTTAGACATTAAAAAAAGGATGTGATGTGTTTTCACACAGAAACGTATGTGTAACATGATGCTGGATAGAGAGTTTCATGTTTAGACATTAAAAAAGGATGTGATGTGTTTTCACACAGAAACTTATGTGTAACATGATGCTGGATAGAGAGTTTCATGTTTAGACATTAAAAAAGGATGTGACCAGTCAAAAACTTCAGTTATCAGTTCTTTGATCTGAGGTTTTATTTGTGTTTCATGTTGGAGGACAGGAACTAAGAGCCACAGCGATCTCCCCTGTTAAATTAATTTAAATTCTCATCAGTGTTGCACAGTCTTAACCAGTCGTATTTTCTTCTTCCCTTTTGAGTCACTGCTCTCATTAATCACTGGAGCAGAAGAGGAGAAAGGTTGATTGAATATTGCATGCTGGTATCTCTTAATCGTACTGGGTGTTCAGAGTCAAAACTTCAAAATATGACCCATTATTCTGGATGGGTATACTCCTGCTAAGGTTACTTTCCTCAATTCCAGTTGAAGACAAACTTAACCCTCAAAAGATCTGAGTCCAGAGGGTTCAACTACTCGCACGCATCCTCGGACCAAAGGTCACAGGCCGCAGGACTCAAGTTCTTTTTACCATGGAGACACGCAGACAGGAAAGATTGAAAAGATGAAAGCTCCCGGGGTGAAGTGGTGCTTCTGCCTCACTTCAGGGAAAGGAAGTGGTTTTTTACGCTCTGTGCGCCTGTACACCGAACACTTCTGCACGTCACACACACAGAAACACACACCGCTCAAATCCACATCCGCTGTATAACTTATCTCCGCTGTCAATGTGTCAACCGTCGGATGAAAAGGAGCTGAAGTCAGTGAAACAACACATTTCATCCACTGTCCCTTTACTGTGTCTCAGGTGGACGACAGTAACAGGGTTTTCAAGCGCCGAATCAAAAGACGTGTGGTCAAGGACACTTAAAGAGATAGCTCTGTTCTGTGTACTGTGTGTCTATGTGTGTCGGTGATCTATATTGAAAGGTTTTGTCTGAAGTGAGTATACAAACACATTCTTCAACATATAGAAAATTGAGCTTCATTGAGCAAAAATGATTGGGATGAAAACCTTATAACCACTTTAAAGATTTAAAGGTTCAGTGTGTAGAATTTAGTCATTCTAGTGTTGAAATTGCATGCTGCAGCTGAACACCCCTCACCTCACCCTCTCCTTCCAAACATTAAAAAGAACCTGTGGTAGCTTCAGTTGTC